GGATTCTGTAAGACACATACTGCGCTATTTCAAGAGGAACCAATCTGCAATCAGAGGGTCACATTCATAGTGTTGTTTAGTGCTGATTGATTGAAGACAGAGTTAACAGCAGAAGGAGAAACACTATGTTCATTTCCAGAAAAGGTACCTGTAATGATCTAAAAGTATGGTTAAAAATAGGGGGGTTTGTATGGTAAAACTTTTCATTTGGTGACTAAGAGCAACCTGTTATTTATTACTCAATCAAGACTAACTGGCAGGTACAATTTTCTCTTCAGATAGCAGTATTAGTGTATAAGCTGAACCACTCAGGAAATAATTCTACTCAGTATGTGGAAACACATAAAAATCAGTATTTATTCACCAGCTGAGTTAAAATTTCTGTTAGATAAGATTCTTTTGTTCCATGGCCAAGATATGCCAACAAAAAAAATACAAAACAAACAAATGAAAAGATTATGACTTCGAAGGTTGATATGGGTCAAAACAAGACCATCTAAGTGACACAATGCTCGTTTTTAATTAGATTTCCTAATGTGACATCAAATTGTTTTTCTTCTAAGAAACAGCACTTCAACAAGGCATGAAATCCTCACAGCTTAGTTTATTAGGAGGCAACAAAGGGATTCCAATCTGCTACAAGAAAGTTTCAGCCTATGAGCACAGCCAGAGCAGTATAAAATTGTGTCATATGAATTTTAATGTGACACAAGTATGAAAGATTCCAAAAGAACAAAGGCAGCACAGTCCTGTTCCACGCTACACAAATGACCTATTCTGATCCGAACAGCACACCACATTACAATCAAATTTATTTCAAAGGAGGGTCACACAGGTCAAATGTAATGGCTGCAAGAATGAGGTATTTCCTTTATGTAGTATTAGAGAAAAGCAAAATATCAAACAGCGCAGGAATGCCAGAACACTGAAAAGAAAGGCATAGTTAGGTTGCAGGGAAACAGATTTTAAAAAGATGTTTTAATTACAGTTATCCTCACTGACTACAGCTTCTAAGTTTCAAAGATACTTGCAATACCTCAATGAAGATGTCACGTATACGTGTGAAATTGTCTACTACATAGACTTCAATATATAAAATGTCAAGGTACCATAGAAATGTTTTATATAAAGCTCATGCTTAACAAAAGTAAGGAGAAAGGCTAAGTGGTCTAACAGGCTGGATATCTCTTCGTGGCCTGATATATCCATGGCAGAAACCATGATATTCCCAATGGAAGCAGATGTCAGATTCCAACAACAGAGAGGCTGGTAAAGCTCCTCATTTTGGCAAGCTGACTATCCGATCCTACATCAAAAGAAGCTACTTTAACAATATAAAGACGTCAGAACAATGCGGTCTACTTGAAAATACTGGACTGTCAGAAAATATACAGAAGTCCATTAAGATGTAAACCCAATGGTAGATGAGCACTTGATGATTATGGTGAAAAGATGACAAAAAGTCTTCATGATCAGGTATCATTAAACAAAAAGGGCAAATTGTCACAGTACTTCTTGACATGTATTTCCATCAATACTTAGGCCTTGTCTTTGACTTCAAATAACTTTTCTGAACAGAATCACTTATTGAGGGTGAAATAGCTCCAAGACCAGACCGTGCAGTTCAGAATGGATGTCTGTCTGTCCTCTGTGACAGAAGACAGCTCTTGCACATACTATGAATCCAGTCTGCAGGTATGTGAGGAACAGGCAGCCAGGATAACAAGTACTTAAAGCAAGGTATATCCGTAATAAGCCAGAGTAACAACTACTTAAAGCAAGGTATATCCATAATAAATCAGAAGTAAACATGTTATACTTTGTAAAAAAAAAAAAAAAAAAAAAATTCATAAAGAATTTCTGTTTTGCAAAGTACAAGTTCAATAAAAGGAGGCAATCAGAAGACGATGTACGACTTGGGTATTTGAAAACAAAATCCTTGGAAAACTAAATTCTACCAGAAAGTTCACCCCATGTTAAAGACTGTTGTTGTGGTTTTTTAATAAAATTAAATATGCAATCTGATTCTGCTCTATGGTATTATGTCACTGTTTTATCTGAAACTTCACAGGTTGCATTATATTGAAGTATCTTCCATTTGATTCCCAGCCAGGGCTCCCTCAGTCACAAAACAAGACAGAATAAAAGCTGCACTGGAAGAATTTCCGTAATGAGTTGGCTACCAGCCTAAAGGTTAGTAGTAGTTTTATTGCCCAAGTCTAGCACTAAAATTGGTATTAGTCACCTCGGCTCTCCAAGTTCCAATCAATCGACTTTTCAGGAGGCATTGAAATATTCAAAGAATTAGACTATTATGTCCACAAAAGAAAAATAATTCAATAGTTTCCAGCGTATAAGAATGAAACATAACCAGGAAGAGCTACAATTCTATCTACGTATTTCAAAATTATTTTGACCTTAGTTTCCAGAACCCATAGCTCTCTTCTCTCCTTTCATTATTTTTTGGAGGTTAAAAATATTCATTAACAGACATTTATATCCCTGAAAACTGATGTGTTCACCTACATTATGACAGCTCTAGTGTAATTCATTAAGGTTTGGAGTTGGAGATAGACATGAGGGAAAAAAATACAAACCTTTAATGTTTCACTTGGTGAATAAAAATTGCATTAATTTAGAAATTCAGTCACAAGAATTCAATTAGCTATGGATATATACTCACATATTCATACCTTTCAACCATCACACTCATTTGAATTTTGATGCTATTTTCTATAAACTATAATCCATTTTACATTGTACCTAATAGATTTATTCAGATGTGCATCCCCATATGTCATATTTAAGCTTATACTACCACCTGCCTGAGGCTGCGTAGTCTAAATTGTCACCCCCACACACCTCTTCAGGGGAGAAAATCCTCCACAGACACTGAATGAACTCCTTCACTTCTGCTTACTGTAGAAGTATGATAAACATTCTGACCATGAATAATATTCACTCAAAAAAAATGCTGTCATACCCCGCCAAAAAAATGCTGTCGTATCCCCCCCCCAAAAAAACAGATTAATGTCTTCAAAACAAAATATTCAAGCTACCTAAGATATGCTGCAATGAAATATCACCTTCTTCGTAATTTCATTTTCACAAGTCATCAAGTATCATCCAAGATTACTGTAATATGAACTCTACATTTGTTGTATATAGGCTATACACACAGGTATATAAAAGTATTCACATATACATAATTTCACACTTAAAGGACTCTGAGATACCTTCAAATACAAACTTGCAAATCAAATAGATTAACTCTGCTTCCAAATACCAACATCAAGATGATGTGACACCATCATCTCTCTGCTTTGTGTTGGGCTCATCTAACAACACTGCTGGGCTGGGGGAAAACTGATGAGCAAAGGTTAAACAGAGGACTGCCAGAAACAAATCTAAGGCTAAGAAATCGCTTCTTCAGATAGACTAATGCTTGACTGATGCATGGAGTGAATCTGGGGCTGCAGAATCATTAATAAAATCCATTCTCTTTGAATTTACACCATCTCTCAAACATTTGGAGTTGGTTCTATTAAGGATTCGGACCAAACTCTGCTGTGCTCTTTTGGAATTAACAGCCCTGCCAAGGCAGCAAAGTGCTCCAAAGGTCAATTTATGATTAGTCTCCCACCATCCTGCACACTGTGTCTGCAAGCAAAGCACAGCATCGGGGGCGAAGGGAGGAGGAGGGGGGAGGAGGAGGAGATAAATATTAGTACTGTGATAAACTCGCAGAGCACGACTTGGAGGATGGCAGATTTCACATGGTCCCTGCTGTGTTAGGTTTCGGGGGAAGCAGGGAGAGGCAGCCCACCTTCCTGTAGGGCAGAGCAGGTAGGGACCCTACACTTTTCTGCACACCTAAAGATGAAAAGAAGGGTGAGCCCAAAGAACCCCAGCTCTCCTCCCAGCCCCAGTCAGGTTTAGTCTCAACACCACTGGGAGCCTGGTCTTTTGAGATTATTGGCAACATCTGTACCTGTGCAAGCCAGCGAAGGCCTTGGGGGTTTCCAGCTCCCCCAGGCCTTCTCATCATCACACACATAAAGGGTAGAGGAAAGCACACACTGATGAGTCCTGGGACTGTCTGAAGTTTATAAAATCCTGGTCCCTGCCCACAGTCTGCTCCAACTTCACTGCCCTTCCAAGGCTTGCTGTACCCCGCCAGGGACAGTGCCCATGGATAATCTGACAACACGGTGTTATCTTCAGGCTCACTGAGCATCCCAGTGGGCACTGAAGCCAGCCACCTTCAGCTAAGAGGCTGCCCTTACTTCTGATCCCCGTCAGCCACTGCATGTGGCTTTCCGTCCATGTGGCTGCCACCCCGCTTCCCTCCCTGCCTGTCCCCCCGCCTGCTGCAGGCTCCCCTTCCTCAGCCCCCCGCGCCCTCGGGCACCAGAACCCCTCTTCTCCCCCACCCCCGCTTTCCTCAGTTACTAGCGGGCTTTTCTAGTACCCGTCTCCAGCATTTTCAGACTTTGCCCTGAATGAAGACATCCCTCTCCCAAAACGGGAGAGGGAGGGAGAATCTGTGCGCAAAGTTTTCACAGACCCTGCCTGCGCCCTCCTCCCCCCACGGAAGCGGCGAGGCGAGGGGCAGGCGGGGGGGTCGGACGCCCGAGGTGGGTGGGTGTCTGCCCCGGCCTGGGCCGTGGGACGCGGGGGAGGATGGAGGGACGGGGCGAGGTTTTCCGCGGACAGTGACCCTGGAAGGCGCCCGCTGAAAAAGAAGGGAGGAGCGGCGCCTTCCCGGGGAGGGAGAGGGGAGAAGCCGGCTCTCTCCAAGGTGCAACGGCATCGCATCCTCGCCGACCCCTACGGAGAAGGGAGCAAAGTCCGAGGAGCGGCGGTGGCAGCAGCAGCAGCAGCAGCAGCAGGTCGCCGCGCCCCGGCCCGGGGCACCGCCGCCCCCCAGGGCCGGCGAGGCGGCCGCCACCGCCTCGCCCCCACCGCGGGCAGGGCCGGCGAAGGGAGAGCTCACTCACCCCCAGCTTCCTGCTGCGGATTTTCACGTAGCCCTGCTTGACTATATCGTTAAAGTTGGAGGCCATGGCCAGCGCTGTCTGCTTCCTCCCCTCCGTGCCCGGAATCCTCCTCCGCCGCCGCCGCCTCCTCCTCCTCCTCCTCCCCCGGGGCCTCCCGGGTGCCGCCGGCCGCCAACACCCGAGGCGCCGCTGGCATCCAGGCAGCGGCAGCCGCCGCGCTCCGCTCCGCTCCCCGCCGCGCTCCTCCCGCGGTCGCTCCGCTCTTCCGCCGGCCCCTCTCCTCCCCCACGCCGCCGCTCCGCACCGCCGCCTCCCGCTCCGCTCCGCTCCGCCCGGCGGCAGCTCCGCGGCTGCCCGCGCCTACGGCCGGGGAGGCGGGCGGGGCGTGGGGCGGGGCGGGGCGGGGCGGGGCCACCGCTCCCCCCGGCGCCACGGCCGCGGAGCCCGCCTCCATCGCCGGCCCTGCCCGCCGCCGGGGGTGTGGGGGGGGGGGTCGCCCGGGGTGGTGTCCCCGGGGGCGCGGCGCGGGTCTCCTGAGCCGGGTGAGGGGTGGCCGCCACCCCCCCGCCCCCGGGCACGGCGCTAGCGCTGAGGCCGGATGCTCTCCTCGGGCCTCGCGATTTTCCCCACTTTTCTCCCGGTTGTCAGACCGCTGTGGCCGCCGCATCCCCGTCTCGGGTGGCAGCTCCCTTCGGAAACGCGGCCCCGGAGGGCATCTTTCTGCGTGTATACGGAGGAAGCCGGGTAGGCGCCCACGACCAGACGTTGAAATAACGGTGTCCATACAACTAACTCAATGAAACAAACATCGAAACTACAAAAGTTAAAAAAAAAAAAAAAAAAAAAAAAAAAAAGCACTAGTCCATCTGAACTTGAAAAAAATAACGTGTCACACATCAGCATTCTGTGCTCTCTTGCTGCGATGACGATGTCTTCATTCTACCGCTCACTGAGGTTCTAGCAAAAAGAATGACTTCTGAGAAAAACGGATAACGTTTAGAAGAGATCAGGAAGGAAAAAAAATGGAGTTGCTTGTGTTTGCGTTAGTTATACGCAAAACAAGAATGAACCTAAACTGCCTGAGAAAGGAAAACTACAAATGTATGGGATTGACAAGAGAGCACATTATTATTGTTTTATAAAATTGTACATAATACATACTTTCAGTGAAAAAAAGTTCAATTTTTATGATAAGCTTAATAAAAGCTTCATAAGCTCTTTTCCTAGATACCTACTTTCTACTGCACCATTGCTCTGAAGTTTTATGAATCAGGAATTTGCAGCACACAGTGTGCTACAGACTGAAGCAATGAAACATATTTCTACAGCTGAAAGTTTGTCAGATTTATTTCAGATTTTCAAAATCAATAGACACTATTCTTAGCCAATGGATTATGAAGTTTGTTATAACTCAGTTGTTTTTGCATATCCAGCCTTCTGCAAATTACACTTTCTCCATAAAACTCTTCTGAATGTACATCTAGAGATTAATCTTGCAGCAAATAGGAAAGATACAATCTAGAAAATTTAGTACAGTGATTGGGTGACAAAATGATAAGGGAAAACTTTGTAACTTCAGTCTATATAACTACCTGGAGTACTGTGTTCAGCTCTGGGGCCCCCAACATAAGAAGGACACAAAGATAAATCAGGGGGCTTGGAGCACCTCCCCTGTGAGGGCAGGCTGAGAGAGTTGGGGTTGTTCAGTCCAGAGCAGAGAAGGCTCCAGGGAGGCCTTATAGTGGCCTTCCAGTACTTAAAGGGGGCTTATAAGAAAGATGAGGACAAACTTTTTATCAGGGCCTGTTGTGATAGAACAAGGGGTAATGGTTTTAAAATAAAATAGAGTAGATTTAGACTAGATACAAGGTGGAAATTTTTTACAATGAGGATGGTGAGACGCTGGAACAGGTTCCCATGGAGGTGCTAGATGCCCCATCCCTGGAAATGTTCAAGGTCAGGTTGGATGGGGCTCTGAGCAACCTGATCTAGTTGAAGGCGCCCCTGGCCATTGCAGGGGGGTTGGACCTTTAGAGCTCTCTTCCAAACCAAATCACTCCATGATTCTATGATGATTCTATGACTCTAAGTAGGGGAAATAGGAGATGTAAGAGAAATCTTGGTGTTTCTAATTTCCAAAACATTTTTAACTGTGCTGAAAGTATTTTTGTTAGCCCATCATAAACCAGGTATAGAATCCCATTTAAAAAAGTAACAAAACAAAACAACAAAACCAAACCAAACCACAAAACCAGAATCTTAATATTTTGATCCAAAGACTCTTGCATCTTTATTGACTGCTGTTGGCTTTGCATCCAAGTCTAACAATTGTGAAAATTATGATGCTAGGCCAAAAAAATTCTCTTTCCCCAGAAAAACTCTTATTATTTTATTTGTTCTGAATTTTTTGCCATAGTCAATTAGTAAATGGTGAAACAGATGAAAGTTCACCTGTCCTTTTCTTTCCTAGCAACTTGATTCCTGATTATATGAATTCTAGAACATCCTCTAGAAGTGAGATTCAGCATTGTTTTTATCCAAGAAAAAAATTCTATGTAATTATGCAATTGTGTATAAAATATATCATCATAAAAAGGAATCGAGAAAAATACTTAAACTATATACAGTTGTGGCTTTCCAGGTATTTCTAGCAGAATGTCAAAAGGATATTATAAGTTTGAACTTATATTTTGGGCAGAATATGTCTTCTTCCTTAATTTCTGTTTTCATCATATGCAAAATGAGAATATTCTGTGATTTTAGAGAGAAAACTGTGATATGCCTACAAGAGAGTTTTTTTCAAGACACCTTACAACATATTAAACATAAGCTTTGTTCAAAATGAGACTAGTGATTGTTTAAGGTACAGAAAGCTCTTGAAGGATCAAAAAGGAGAAGAACATTTCCGTTCAGTTGCCAACCAGAAAAGTACATAATCCTATTCAATTAACTGACAAAAAGACATTTCCTTTATAGATTAACCTTGAAAGATTTGTAAGTTTGTAGACCTGGTTTCACATGCAGTCCCTGCCCCCTTTTCACTAACTCTCAGCTACACAAAAATTGATTTGTGGGATCTGAGAAAAATTGTATATGTCCTCAAATGGACATAGAGATAATGGTATGATTTTTTTTTTTTTTTTTTTTTTTTTCTTAAGGACTGTGCTGTGTATTGTGTGAAAGGGGCAACAGTTTCAGAACAACATTCCTGGGCATTTTTTAGTTTTTCACTCTCTTCAGGAAAAGGTAACAATACAACAGAACTTGTGTTACCTCCCTAACATGCATGTCATGTTGTCAGAACTCTACTGTTTGAGAAATTTCCAGCCAGTGAAATTGAAGAAGGTGATATATTTCCAAAGATAATCAACCGTATATTCCTGAGTATATTATTTTATCATATGACATGTGTGGAAAATAGTTGTGATGGTATAGATAATCATATCTCTATTAGTAATTTTCAACAGATTTTCCCCAATTATTTATTACTGTTCTTTTATTTTTCTTTAAAATCCACGTAAGAATAGTATTGTTTATTTTATTATCATAAAAATGCAATAAGATATAAGCAAAATATGTGTAAAATACAAAGCATTTTCATTTTACATTCTACGGAGTGTAAACTAGCCCGCCTGAGTTTATAAAATGATTGGTCTGGTATTTATTTTCAGCTGCTTTGGATAGCACCAGTCAGAATGAATGATCAAATATTCATCTGCATATGGGTCCCATGGACAGCTTGTGGCACAAATGCATAGCAAGGCCACTCTGAACCACAGGAAAACACTGTTACTTCCCCGCAAAAATAGCTTTGTGTTCATAACACATTCATACATTGTATTTGCTGTGAAAATCACAACTTACGAAGGAAGATTCCCCAAATCAGTCACCCCAAATGCTTTACCCTCTTTTTCTTCAGAAATCCCAGGAAGGCAAATGTTCTCAGAAACTCAACAAATACAAACTCAGTGGACCCAAAAGGAGGCAGGAAAGACATAGTATGATTTTTTTTTTTTTTTAAGAAATAATTGCCATGAACTAATGCCTTATATATTTTGTAAAAGATTATTTCTGGTATACCTGTTGGTGTGAAATCATCATTTGGAAAGGGAAATGATTCAGCAGGTAATCAAGTCACAAATTATTTCAAGCAGAGAAGTTAATTTCTAATCTACCTAACATAAGTGCAATCAAATCTAATACTATTTTGGACAGACAATATGTATTGCCATTTGCCTCTGTCAGAAAGCAATTCATTTAAATGAAATGATCTCCACCTGTGCTTGCTTGACAAAATGAACAAATTTTGTCAGTGTATATTTTAAGTCTGACTTTATATGTCCCCTCTTCATGAACAATTCACATTCATGAATGATTCTCCAGCGACAGATATCAGTGTTTAAAGTTTCCAGCCAGTATGGACTCTCACCACACTTGCCAAAGAGGAGCACAGAGAGCTCCCTCTCAATTTTTAGCAAGGCAAGCTGTTTCTCCCTCTTCTTTCCTGACCAAATGCCAGCTGAGTCTAAAGGAAAACCTCTGGTTAAAAGTTTATCAGGGAACTGAGAGTTAGTATTTAATCAAGACATCCGATAAAAAACATGTTCTCACCTAAAGCTGTTTTCAATTTAAAATAAACAGTAATTTTTATTATGATAATAGAAATTTGCATAAGTAATGCCAAGAAAGAAACATTAGCTAATGTATTATTAATGCGTTGGAAGCTTACCTTCAGCTAGACTTCAGACGATTATTTTGCTCCAACCCATAAATCACATACTAACCAGAGTCCTTTGTGAACTAGCATGAAACATAAATCACCTAGATAGACAATATTAAAAAACTATTGTTTTCCATGGGCTTTGTAAAAAGCAAAGCTATTAGTTCTTGCATGAAACCACATGCATATTTATTACTGGCTTGCTATCCAGACCCACAGTGCATAGTCTTTCATCCCCCAAATATAGGGTAGACAGCTAGGCTAGTATCTTGCTTCTGACCTGTGTCAGAAAGGTATATGAAAAAAATAAAAAAGTGACATCTCCTGGTTTATAGGGTGATATATTATAGCTGATTAATTTGGTTTTGGAGATCAGAAAAGGGAATATTGTCACCTCTGCTTTTCTGTCACAGAGATAGTGAGAATGAAATCTCTGCTCCTCTGAGACTGCCTTTTGACACAAATCATAATTTATGCTTTTTGATCTTTGCCCAAAAACAAGAAATACCATAGGCACGGTTGGGGCCTCAGTAACTAACTGTGTTGGGAAACTGACTTTGTCTT